CCATTCCCCAGTCCTGGTCTCCTCTGCAGCCTCGGCCCAAGCAGAGGGGGACAAGATGTCAGGTATGTCCATTCACAATCTCTCCCTGCCACACTACAACACCTCCTTAGAAACTGGCCCGAGCCAGCCAGACAGGCACCCTCCCAGTGCAGAACCGGACGGTCCCCAGAGAGAAGCCGAGCAGATTCCCAAGATGAAAGTCATGGAAAGTCCCAGGAAGACAGCGGGAAACGTTTCTGGCTCAGGTGATGGAGCCCAGAAAGACTCGCGTGGGAGCTCAGAGGACAGTCGATCAAGAAACAGCATAGGATCACTGATGCTTGGGAAGCCAAGGCCAGGAGCCATCTCACCAATGAACTCTCCTCTCTCCACGACTTTCCCTTCTCCCTTTGGCAAAGAAACCTTTCCACCCAGCAGCCCCCTGCAGAAGGGCTCCTTTTGGAGCTCCATCCCAGCATCCCCTGCCAGCCGCCCTGGCTCCTTCACTTTCCCTGGGGACAGTGACTCCCTCCAGCGGCAGGGCCCAAGGACACAGACCGCATGAGCACATGCTCCTCGACCAGCGAGCAGTCAGTTCACTCCACCCAGAGTAACGGGGTAAGAGCGGAGCACCTCTGTCCTGCGAGCTCTTCTAAAACCTTCCCATGCTCCCTTCCTGTGCGTTACCACCACTCTCCGTACTAACTTCTGGCTCTCCAGTGCTCTACTGCTCTGAAATAATCAACTGTTTGAATATCTTCTGCACTTTAAAAAAACAAAACTGTCTGCCACTCTTGTGTATGTATGCATAGAAACGTGGCTATGGATACAGACACAAAAGCAACTGCTAACCTGCAATTTCTGCCTCTGCTGAAAACATAAATCACTAAGCTGATACTTACTAACTTGCTCTCCTTGCTTTTTTCGTCTCTAATTTGAAGGCACCTAATTAACATGCTGGATTGAGGCAGCCAGAGCACCTTGGGGTATGCATTTCAGCCAGCACTTAAATCTGACTTCGAGATTTTGGCAGGTTGCCTTGGGGCTTTTTTCCCTTTCTTTCACGCACAAATCCGCCACCATTGTCCTGTTGAGCTTTAACTTCGTGGAGACATCTACAGTATGTTCCCTGAGCTGCTCGATTTTTATTTTTTATTAATTTATTATTTCCCCCCTCTCCTTTCAGCTTTAGTTGGTGTACAACATTCTCTTTTTAAATCCTGTGTCTGATCAAGGAAGCTTCATGCAATCCACTCAAAGCAGGCCAACAAAACATAGCTAAAATAATCCTCCTTCTACTACAACCAAATCAAATAGTGGCTCCACTTGTCTTTTCTGCTTTATAAGAAGATCCGGTTTAGGACATCTGGAGATTCCACCTCTTAGCATGCACTTGGTGTGCTTGAGCGGAAAGCCGGGGTGTCAACAGAATCCACATTCTCCGTAAAACCCTCCGCCAGGAAATGCAGCACAGCAATCACAGGGGCATGTGGAAACATAAAGCAAAAATGTCAAGGCACTTGCCATGGATGTGGTAGGCAGGCTGTGGTGCCTTTCTTTTTAGACTCGTGTTTTATTTTTCTCTCACTAAGTGTTGTGTTCATGAATGTTTGGGTTTCCACTCTCTCACAAATCGTATGCGATACCAATTTTGCAATCACCTAACTTGCCAACCTTTTTTAAATGCATGCGTTCCTTTATAGAACTGTTTAACCTACAGAGCTTTCTTGACTTCTTAGTTCTTACACTTTTATAATAGTTTCAGAAGAAAAAAATTATGCTTCGCATGTACCGTATTTTTATCCCAATCTTTCTTCAGCTTTTCCTTTGGTTTAGCTCTGTCTTTTGTTTATCTTTAGTCTAGCAAAATGTGATGATAATATAATATCTGGGATAATTTGAGTATTTCACAATTACTGTATGTGAATCAAGATGGTGGTACATTTTATATACGGAGAAAACTTGCATAGCATTAATTGATATTGTTCCATTAAAAAAAGAAAAAGGGATAGACCGAGAATGGCACTGAGTTTTCAGGACATTTCAGTTTTGGTACTATCTCAGCAAAGACACCATTGCCTGCTTTCATCTTACTGTAAAACACAGTACCTGAATGCATGCCTTCTGCTTCACAACTATTCCTTTTAGTTTGAGATTGGTCATAATTCTTTATAAATAAACATCATTTCTAGACCATACGTTAGCAGAATTTCACACCACATTTAACAGGCTAGAGAAAATGGGTTAAGAAAGTTTATTTTGATTTAACCATTTCTGTGTGTATTTGTATGCACATACGGTTACAGCTGGTTACTTACAGGAAAGTTACTTCCAAGAAGAAGAAAGATTAATTGGTTTTCCTAGTTATTTCAGGAATATGGGAGGAATCTTTTGTATTTTGACTGTAAATCCTCCTCCAGTCCCCTAACTGAGGTCAGTGATTACCAGCAGAATTTGCAGTCAAAAAACATTAACTGGGCAAGAATAATTACTTCCTTGCAAGGCAAAAGAAAAGGCTGTCTTTCTGTGGTAAGAATAACTTCTGATATAACCCCATTCACAAGGATGTTTGTCACTTACTAGTTACCAGACACTTGTTTATTTAGCAGATATATCTATACTCGTTGAAGACGAGAAATATTCAGAATTTAATATGATCCTTCAGGGCTTGACTATGAAAAAGATATTATGTTACAGAAAGGTCAGTCCTGCAGTCACACAGATTCTGCTGTATGCTAAGAGAAAGTATTTTCAGGAGTAGTGTGTGGGGTAAGGTTTGGGACTTAGGTCAATTTTGCAGCTTCAGCCTTCTCTTCATCCTCCCTATAAGATTAACAGGAGTTAACAAAAGCAGCTTTCTCTGAATATGGTTGTTTTTCATCTAGCTAAAAGAATCTAGCATGTTGTAATCTTAATTTAAACAATGACTGAAAACGAGACCAATTTTTTTTTGGATCTACTATTCCTAGCTTACCTGAATCATGGAAAGGGTTCACTGATACAAAAGACCATGCAGGCAGTCCTCCAAGCCAGACAAAATTAGTTCTTCCACTGGAATCAATATAAGTATCCTTTAGTAGATCAACAATCCAGGATGAGATCTTTCTCTCTGTGGTAGCATTAGCTGCATCATCCTAATAGGGGTAAAAAGACAGAATGAACCACCCACAGCTGAACATGCTATGAATGAATAGTCTGAGACTTCCCTTCCAAATGCCTTGGTTTCTCTGCCAAAGCACTCATGGAGAAGCACAGGCACTGAGAGATGGAGGGACCTGTTCAAAGCCTTTAGCAGATTGAAAGAGAATGTGGTTTTCAGGGCTTCCACGTTTCAGTGTACCATGCTCTTCACTGACTCCTTTTCCATCCCCTCAATGCTAAGGGGAGAAATATTTGACAGTTTTGAGGAAAAAGGTGACACTGCTTTAATCCTGCATGCCAAGCTTTCCACTCTCTGGTAGCACATAGGTGGTGCTAACACGTGTTTATGCTATAGAAACAATAGTAGTCTCCAGTTACAGCTGGGTGCTCATTTACTACTTCAAGTCAGCTACTAGTCACTACTCAGAAGTAGTGAGCCCTCACTGGTAGTGGTCTGAAGCAGTTTGAAGTGAGAACAGAGACAAAGCCAGGCACACAGACATGCACACCTCATGCCACATCATTAGTAGTCATCCATTTTGGTTTTAACTTGCTTCAAGAAGTAAATAACTTATTTCAGGCAATAAGTTGCATAGTCACATTTATGTTTATTAAGCCTCATGTAAGAAGTGCATGCAAATGGACAAAAGTAGTCTAACTTTTAAAAAAATAATAACTTCCAGTGGATTCAGGGCTAGGAGAAGTTTTATTGCTCTGAAAAGTAGTATGACTTTTAATATACCCCTGGTCAGCCATCATTAGATTTCTGTAAATGCCCAGTGGCGAAACAAACAATGTTTGTGAACACTAACTGAAAGTGTTTGATAAAGAGGTGACAACACTCAGCTACCATAGTCATTGATCAGTTAGAAGTGAGATTTCCAGCTTTGTTCTGATAGTTCAGTGGGCCTACTTTACCTGAGAAGTGAGTGGTTTCTTATTTCAGTAATTTCCTTCATCCTGTGTGCTCAAAGGAATGAACGTGATCATACTGATTGAACCAGGGACAAGCCTTGTGGTTTTGAGACACACTGTTAAAAGCCCATTTTATTGTTTTGTACCTTGTCATGTTTTGTGTGCAGAAGGCTGGTATCCGAGAGCTGACAAATAGTGCTAGGAAAGACTATATGTATTTTTCATTTTTGGAATTTCCAGTGCTTATGAGGTAATAGTATGATTTTGAAACTGCACGTAGAAGGTGATGAAAAACTGTCCTGTGTGCTGTACTGTTGTTTTGTTGCCTGATAAAGATGAGAGATGTCTGAGTTTGAAGGGAAAACCAGCTCAGATCTGTGTCTAAACTGTTAGTTAAAGGAAGTAATCTTGAGTAAAAGTGAATATTTCTGCAGCAGCTGTACATGAGTTTATTCAAAAATCAAACAAATTTGCACAAGTTGAATAGGAAAAGGCAGCTTTAAAAGAGAAATTGTAGCTCTTTTGTTTGACTACTTAGCTTAAATTATGTGGATTATGCAGGTAATGTAGCAGGCCAAGAACAGCCTGTCTTCTTCATGAACTTTAAACTTGGTTCTTTTTTTCCTCCCCTCTTTCCGCTTCCAACTGACACTTGCAGAGTGAAAGTAGCAGCAGTAGCAATATCTCCACCATGCTGGTGACACACGATTACACGGCAGTGAAGGAGGATGAGATAAATGTCTACCAAGGAGAGGTCGTGCAGATTCTAGCCAGCAACCAACAGAACATGTTTTTGGTGTTCAGAGCCGCCACTGATCAGTGCCCCGCAGCCGAGGGCTGGATTCCCGGCTATGTCTTGGGGCATACCAGTGCAGTCATCATTGACAACCCTGATGGAACCATCAAGTGAGTGCCTGGGTGTGTGAAAAGGGGAGGAGGAAACAAAACTTCCAATTTAGACGAGGCTTTGAGCCTCTTAAACATAAAGTTGATGGTATCTTTGAGAAATAAATTAACATCCAGCAGAATGAGTACTTGAGAGGTCTCTCAGCAAACTTCAAAATACAGGCTAGTAAGAAAGAGTACAGAAGCACATATTCTTTATTAAAAAGCTGTAGTAGTGTATTCTTCTAGTTGTGTAGCCTGATAACTCGTTCATGTAACTAGATATCGTCGTTTAGGAAAACAGTCAGTTTGTTGCAAGTGAAACAAGATTTCAGAGTTCCTAAATCTCTACTTTGAGCCAAAAAACCTTTACAAAATTACTGGTTATGCTAGGAAGATCTCTCTCCAATCTGCAATGGAAGAAATTATAACAAAGTTCTTAGCACTAAGGCTTTGTGTAAAATTAATATAGGCTGTACTTGATACAGATATCATAAGGATCACTGCTCAGTTTGATCAACAGTTTGTGTTTTCATATAGAAAGTTTACTGTTCAAGCAATGGTTTCAGGAAATACTGAACTCCAGACTAAGCTTACTAGCTTGCTTACAGTTTCAACCACGGGTAGCATCTCTTCCGGAGTACTTCCATTTCAGTGTACTTTAATATAAGGAAATAACATTCTGACATACTTTCCCAATGCCATTTGAAACTAGAGAGTATAACACATAACCTGGAGTTGAAAAAAATTGATCAAAGTGTGATGTTCTGCTCTATTCAGGAAGTCAACATCTTGGCACACAGCACTCCGTTTAAGGAAGAAATCTGAGAAAAAAGATAAAGACGGCAAAAGGGAAGGCAAGCTAGAAAACGGTTACCGCAAAGCCCGAGAAGGACTTGCCAACAAGGTTTCTGTAAAGGTGAGTGCTGCAACCATGTAGTCGTTTGCAAAAGAAGTTGTGCTGGGATTTCTTTAAAAGTAGCATCTGTCCGAATTTCACATGAAGGCATTAAAGGCTACAGTGGTTTTAATGGACAGTGTGTGCCAAATCTGAAAATGGGAAGGTACAAACTTGGAGCCTGCAGGTGTGATACAGCCTAAGGATACTGCCAAGAGAGTATGGGTTTCAGCTGAGACTATGAGACCCAAGATATTTCTCAGACCTTTGTGGGTGCAGCTAATTGCAACCCATCGCTGTGCTTTGTTTTCTGCCATTCTTTAAGTTATTGTAAGGCTATCAGGACATTAATTCTTTCATTTCTCCTTTCCAGCTTCTCAACCCAAATTACATTTATGATGGTAAGTTGCTTTAACTTTTAAAAATTGTAATAAATATAGTCTGATTTAAACATTATTCACCTTGTTTAAATTTGCTTGATATGAATTATGTCAGGAACTGAACGTTTCCTATCAAAGTATACATAAGTATACTTTTGGATAAGGAGACAGTTAATGAAATACATCTTGTTTATTTTCTAAAATGCAAGGGATACATTTTATTCACAAGTCCAAAACAACATAAAACACTAGGACCATATGATATGTTCTATACAGAGACTGTATGGAAGTTGGGCCTTGCTGAATTTGCAGAATAGCAAGGCCAGGAGTTGGAGCTGCTTCATTTTTTTAACCTTGCACCCCGAGGAACATTCAAGGCCTGTCTAGTGCAGAGGCCGATCAGGACAAAGATAGTGGCCCTCTGAGGTCAGAGCCAAACTAGGCTTTTAGCTTAATACACAAAACCAAACCTGTAGAGTTTCACTCAAAAGAGAAAGCCTCTACAGTGCCTCAGTGGATGAGTGAGGTGGTTTGTGTTCCCTTTTGCAAACTTAGCTGGATAGCCAGCTGAGCATGTCCTTAAATACTTTTCACAGTAGAGTTCCCTCAGCTTGCTATAAGCAGGGTGTTTGGTTCGCCATGGTAGGCTTCCATGTTATCTGTGGCATAGCAGTAGTGTTGTGTCCAAGTTCACATGGAGAAAAATTCACCAGCTCTGCAGAGCCCCAGCAAGCAGCCTATCTTGTGCTCCAAGGGTAGACAGATAGATACACTGTGGGAATTTCAAGTACCGTACTAACTTGTGTAATAGAAAAGTGACTGTGCAAGGAATAGAAAAGCACATTTATTAACTTCAGTTGACCTAATGCCATTGATTTTCTTTTTCCAGTTCCCCCCGAGTTTATAATACCATTGAGTGAGGTAACATGTGAGACAGGAGAGACCATCGTGCTTAGGTGTAAAGTCTGTGGTCGCCCCAAGGCTTCAGTTACTTGGAAGGGTCCTGACCATAACACACTGAGCAATGACGGTCACCACAGCATTTCATACAGGTACAGCGACTTGCGCCACCTTCAGCAGGCAATGT